GACTGCCTCATTGTGTGTCCCGCTGTGTCTAACACATGCAGACTGACTCAGCTGGCCATGCAGATGGACCACCTTTGATCTCCCGTGTTGACCTGTGTCAGGGGGCAAAGGTTACTGGAGCAAAGCAAGCTGATTGTCACATGTTTTATCCCAAGTTGCTATGAACAAGAGATATGTTATCAAATGATAATGGTGTTTTTCAAGCTCTGTCCTGACCTTGTTGAGTATATGTCCTTCATAAACATTCTTTGAGGGATACTCATCACATGAAACTGCCTCTGACAACTCATCTGTCCAAGCTTATGTTTTCCATCGCATCTCACAAATGGTGAGGATGTGTGTAACGTCTGTTTCCCCACATCCTTGGCTACTATTGATTTCCTTTGTGTGTGACAGGTCCGGGACCTGGTGAGCAGGGAGGAGACGTTTTCTAGGAACAGAGCAGCGCCAGCGCTCCCTTCCCTACCTGATGCTGCTCAATATTTAATGCCCTGCACCCGAGCTGCTCCATGAAGGAAAGACAATGGAAAGCTCGGTTACAGTTAAATCATGGTCGTTATGTTGAGATTTGTTTTAGGAAATTTACGCTTATGCTGACGAAGCTTTGCCAACCTGTAAGGAAAAATATGAAGAATTCCTCTATATTAGCTTTTACACCAATTTACAGCCGCATCACTCACCTTGTTTAGTAGTGAGTTCTCAAATCAATTAAACATTTATGAAAATGAAATATATATGCCAAAGTGGTGTGATTTGAGCAGAAATCCCAAGTTCATGTAATCACGTGTCATGGAGGGAAAAAATTATTAATTTAGCAATAGAGATATGTCTTATTAAAAATATACCAGCATATCGACCTTTGAGAACATTCATCTGTGTGAGATAAAAATAGATTGACTTCTTCTACTGCTACGCAAGACATAGAGTGAACTAGGGTCATGAATAAATTATTTTGTCCAATTGAGGTGAACTGTGTTCAGACTATATGAGACAAAGCAGAACCTCCTGCAGAGTCATAGTTAAAGTAAGGAGTGCAGGGGTAACTTCAAACCCTGTCAGGCAGCTGTGGCTCTGACCTTTGACATCTTTCCTGTTGGTTGCTTGTAATATTGATCACCTAAGAATACAAGCTTATTCTACCTCAATTCAGTGTAAACTTATTGATTAACACAGTAGCATACCTGTGTTAGGTATGTCGTGCACATCTGTGGTACAATTAGACCAAGGATGAGGGTTTTTATGGCCTTATGGAAGATGTGGGACTTTATATTATCAACTGATAAAGACCTCACATACACAGGCAATACTGATATACCTGATATTCCTCTCTTATCCTGGCAACAAACCATATATTGTAGTCAAACTCTCACTGAAACCAGCCAGTATAAGAACGAAAACATCTTTTCCATCGAGAAAAGCCTTCAGTGACGTTCTTTTCTCCTCTTTCAATGACGAAATATTATCCAGTTAGCATTGTTGTTTTCTCACACGCGTCGTCACACACGCCTGGCATTAAACCACGCCAGTAGCTCATGCTGTAGCTGCCAGTAGTTCTTCATAGGACCCTGATTGGTCCGTAACCACTGTGTTCTGACATGAACGCATAGCTTGAAGCCTGGTAAGATGTATTCTTTCATGATCCTGTGGGGTTAGTGCCATATATCTCCATCTCAGCTACTAAAAACACATTAATGAGCCACACTGTTGCAGTGGGTGAAATGTTCCTTACAATAAACATAATACTGTACTTAAGTTTTAGTCAATTGCCTCATACACTGCCCTAGCTCACAAAACATGTAATAATCCGCCACTGAAAATAGTCCCAAACAAATTTACTGTCCCCCCCCTGTTATTAACATTTGCTAAAAGTTACAGTGCCCAGTTGTTTTAGAAATGTATTAACCCTTTTTTAAATGTGAGAGTATATATTTGTGACCTGTATTTAAGATGAAGATGTACATCTTCAGTAGGAACAACTGGGCTTCAGGCTGAGAGACACAAACAGAGTAGGGAGGTTTGAAAGTATTGAGAGACATATTGTTGGTTTTAGCCTTATCCTGTAAAAACAGAGAATATAAATGAAATTCTTCTGTTTTTGAACTTATGATGTACAATTTAGTTATTGTTTTCAAACATGTAGGGATCATGTTCACCACTTTGCATACGCAGCTCGTGACAGGGGATCACAAGTGTGCATTGCCTCGTTTTATGGAGGTCACAGGCCATAAAAGCACACAATACTGGCTGTTAGCAGCTTCATCGCAGCAGTATTAGTACTGCTGCTGTCTTTCAAAAGCCTTTATTTTTACTTCCTTATAGTCAGAAGATTTTCGACTTCATTATAAATATTTGGATATAGATGCATGGAAGGCGGAAAAAAAAGCACAGTGTGTCTCGAGGCAACAAGCACTTCGAGTTGTAAATCAGTTGCAGGCACATGGTATATGCATCTGCCTGCTGAGCCAACAGGACGCCACAGTACCAGGTGTCAGAGTGTGCTATACTCACCTATTCTCTGTAGAACTGAAACTGTGGGGTTTGTTTTTTTCTGTACTTTAAAATCATATACTCATGCATGGAAAGATATGGACACCGTGTATCTGCAAAAAAAAAGAAAAAAAAAGTTTAGATAGCTCGCAGGAAAACCAGGGAATTGCTGCTTGCCATGTTTATCTCATCGTTATCCAGTTGTTGTGATGATAATACACGATGCTAATGGCCTTGTTCAAAACCAAGCCTTTGCTAAAGCAAACAAGTTGGCTCTTTTCTGTATCTCCATGACTCATGCGCAGCCTGAGTGGTTTGGCTGTGAGTGGTACTATTTTGAAAGGGCAGAAGTGCAAAACAGAGGTGGCCATGGAAACTGACGGCATCCAATGGGAGAATAGGATATGGGTGTGGCTGGCTGATGGACAAGTGTTTCTGACCCGCTCACTTCCTTCTGCCTGGTCAATTAATAACTTTTTCTGCGCTCATTCTTCCGCAAGGAGGGAGAAGGAGAAAGAATTCGCTGGAAGTTTCTAGATAAAGATAAAAATGTCACATGATGAAGGGCTACAAAAAGAGACGAAGGACGCTGTGTATGTGGCGCAAAGCAAACAGTATGCGGTATCTGTGCAATATGAACTGAGCTCAGTGAGGTTAAGTGAAGTCATTTCATTTGCAATTGTTGTCTAGTTTCTCACTTATATTTATCCTCACACTAGTCTGAGTTTAAATGCTTGTTCTCAAAGTCTGCAGGTTGATTTAAGTGTACTTTTCCACAACACAACCTGCATTTTCAACATTCCAACATTATCCTTCTGTTTGTTCTTCATGCACGTCATTTCATTGAGAGTCCTGACGATCTGGGCAGTGAACGTCACTGATTAATACTCTCCATTCACTCATTGAATAAGGCGGCACACCTCACTTGTACACCTGCTCAATGGAGGTATGAACTTGTGCCACTATATAAGCCTGAACCAGCGTGCATGGTCCTGAAAAAGAGCAGAAGTGGAGGGAAAAACTTCCCTGCATAAATGTCACAGGCATAAATTCCCAAAGGAAGAGAATTGATGCAGCTTTTCACCCATATGCAATAAACTATTAAACATATAAGTTTCCCTTTTAAGTTGAAAAGCTTACAGCCTGTCTTTGCATTCTGATAATTTTAGTTAGTACACACTGATGAGAGGAGAAGAGGGAGAAAGGATAGCAAGATCATAAAAAGTCATGTGGTTACCTTCTTAATGGTTTCCATGGAGAAAACACAAACACAGATACAGTACATGGTAGCCTTGTATTTCGATGCTCTCCTGGAAGAGAGAAGTCAAAGTTTTGATTCAACAGCACACAAATGTTCACCAACAGATATGTGTCCTACCCCGGTGCCCTTGTCCTGAGGTCACTGTGTTGTTTTAATTTATGGGAGTTTGCCGAAGCAAATGCCTCTCAGCTACCCCAAAAAGGCAACTAGGCATGTGAACAACACCTAATATATATATTTTTAAAACAGTTTCCTCCCAAATAAGGCTCTATCCCCATTTACACCAGTTCAGTGACACTTGGTACGTACGCAAGGATTTTAGATTCTGAAGATGTCGCCGTGAAATCTGTGAAGATTCCTGCTGCTTAATCACTGGAAGACATTCTGGAGTGTAAACTATGCTTAAAATGTAAACATACACACATATATGGACATACAGCTTCTCTCTCCAGCACAATGCTAAAGGAAGGCAGCATCAGAGGGGCCCACACATTGCACTTTAAAGAATATAACACACTGGTTTAGTTTCTATCCTGCCAAAGTGTAAGCTTAGTTGCAGCAGGATATCTCAGATCATCCATCTATTGGAGGTCCAAATTTGCTCATTAGCATAGTGAAGGCGTGTGATTGCCTAGAGGCTCTTTAAGGGTGTTTCCCTGCCTTTCAGTGCATGACAAGTGACTCTAAAGAATACTGATCTATCGGAAAATCCACAATAAATAATCTGAATTTTGGTAAGACTGGTTATTATGTACATGTGTCCATTTACCCAGTTGATTAAAGTAGGGTAGCAATCCCACAAATCTTAAACAAAGAACTGAATAAAACTGCATTATGACATGAACATAATATAAAACACCAGTGATGTAATGCTTAACATAAGAGGAACTGGCTAATGTGACATCAGTCATCATCATAATGTAAAAACTAAACTGTCTGTTAAAAAACTATTTTACATACCTTAAAATGATATATTTCACCAGTTTAATCAGATCTACAGCAGCCTAGAACAATAACTAACTTCTGCTTAGCACATTAGCTCAGTAAAATGTGTATTTAACTGGCTGATTAAGCCTAAAAAAAAAACTAAAAAAAAACACAAGGACGGCAAGTTGAAACAATTTCTGATGTAGTGGAGAAAAATAGGCTGCCTTGCCTCCTGCCACAATGTATTCATCCGCTGCGCAGTATATTATGCAATGAGGCAGCAGGGCGAACAACTACCCAGGCGGAGTGATTTACTGAGGACTACACCCAAGCGCCTGTCCGATTGCAGCGGCTTCTCTTCGTTGCCTAGACCAGAAGAAAGCCGGGACGTAACGGAGCCGGGGGGGTTCTGCTTGCTGGAGGCCCGTTAAACCACTGATTTAAAAAAACAAAAAACCCAACCACACAGCTTCTTCGCAGTTTCTTCGTCGCTCAAGAGACGTTTGTGACCTACCTTGACCCTACGTCTTTTTTCCACCTTAGAACTAATTTCTCAAACATGTCCTGGCAAAGCTACGTGGACAACCTGATGGCTGATGGCAGCTGCCAGGACGCGGCCATTGTTGGGTACACGGACGCCAAATACGTCTGGGCATCGTATGCCGGCGGTACCTTTGCCAACATAACGGTTCGTATTGTGTGTGTGTGTGTGTGTGTCGCTTTGTGGGGTTAACACGGGAGGAAATGTACATTTTTTTTTAAATTTTTTTTGCATGCATGGTGTGTTTTGTCTGCATAGCCAGGCCTTGTTGAACGAGGATACAGCAGCAGTGTGTGTGCTACACATGGTATCCGGTGGTCTCACACACACACACACACACACACACACCGTTGCCTTTTCATCCTACAATCAGCCTCTTTTTGTGCTTTTATTTTTTAAATCTATTTACAGTAAATCTTTATGTGTGACCTCAACGTGCATGTTGTTTTTTTTATTTTTTATTCTTTTAGAAATAACCGCTAGAGATAGCTCAAACCAGATCAACGGTACCGCGAGCTAAAAAAAAAAAAAAAAGTGCTAGCCTAGCAACAAGCTAACTAGCATCAACTAGCCGTGTTCGCTTGTGATACCGGTGAGATAAGATGAGCCCAGACAAAGCATAGCCACATTTCAGCTTTATATTCCAAACCTTTTTATCATGGGATATTGTCGTGTGTGGCTCTTATTTTTATTTTTATTTTTTAAACAAAGGGTTATTAATTTATTTGACACAGCAGCAGCAGCAGCGGTTAGCTCAAATCAGGCCGGTCATCCCCGTTGGAAAATCATTACTAAGCTTACGCTAATAGCGCAGCTCGCACGCGTTCCTGACGTTCTGGCGAGCCGTTGGTCATTCTCGTTTTTTTCCTACTCTGCTTCTGTGAATCGCTCTGCCGCTACCGCCCCTTTATATTCCAAGATGGCGGACACACTCCCTGTTTCTTATTCATTTTTTGTTCACGGCGGCTAATCGAGACGTTTGGGTCACACTTGTAACATCGCCCACCCCACCCCCCCCACACAAACACATTGTGTGCATCGATTTGTTTTAGTACGTTATTGTTCTTACGAGTTCACTAAAAGTAGAAGTCAATTTAATCGCGGCCCTTTTTTTTTTTTTTTTTTTTTACGTAAAAATCTGACTTAGCTAAACACTCGTCTCCGGCGCTTCCTTGAGCCTCCATTTTGTCTGTTAAATAAATTATTAGTAAGTAATTTAAATACTTCCGTGAAAGCACAACGACTCTCACTGTGAATGTAACACACCTTTTTTTATTTTAATCCACTTTAACGAGCCTGCGTTAGCTATGAAATGATAGCCCAATGCTACAGACGAGTGAACTATGAACGAGTGTGTGTGTGTGTTAGTTGGGAGTGTCCAGTCGGGGCAGGGTAACGTTATCCCTCTTTGAAGACGCAAATTGTATAAATTGACTATATCGTATTTTGTCGTCTGTGTTTTGGAGGAGGTGGTGGTGGTGGTGGGGAAAAGGCCATGTGAAGCCAGAGCTAATTGCCTGTTTACCGGCGTTAGCCCAGCCTGTTTTCTCCTCCAGACGCGGTGATTAAATTTATTAAACAGCTGAAGGAATGCGGAAAGCTGAGCCAGTCTATATGTGTGTGTGTGTGTGTGTGTGTGTGTGTGTGCGGGGGGGGAGCGGTGCAAGTTTCATGCGGGAATAGCAGAGAAAAAAAATTGGATTCCCCCCTGGGGAAAGATGGTGAATGTAATTAATTAGCCAGACCGGGCCCCGACATGCAGCTAGCCGCCATGCTAACGTTATCTGAGCCAGTAGAAGTCCTTTTGAGTTTCCTCGTCCTTTTTTTTTTTTTTTTTCCTGAAGGGTTTCATGTGTGCCATGACTGTGCAGTTCTGGAGTTGAGGGGCGACGCCTTTTGTTCTACAGATTGGTTCAAAGACCCGGTTTAATAAACATGTCTTTCATTACAGACAGTGCGGTTAAATGTGTATTTTTTTGTACATGTAAGCAGCAGTGGACACACAAAGTGGATTTTTTTTTTTTTTTAGAGAGACCTTTTGTGCAACCCGAGTTTTCAGCATAATGTTTTTGTCAGCTGTAATGGGCCTCTGAGATTTCAGGACCTGCCAGTGGTAGTATAATGGAGTCAGCTGTGTCTTTTAGACAGACATGCACTTTTTTACAGCCTACTGTCCTGACCAACTTTGTAGAGAGTAAAAATATACATTTTAAAAAATCTGTAATTTTATTAAGGTTTTCAACAAATCACTTTTTTTTATTAGATGTATTCTGTTTAATTCCATATACACATTTAAGTAAAGCCATACATGCAGTCTTAATCTGTGTTTAATGCTATATTAAGACTGAAGTTTGGATCATTTTTGGTTAATGAAAAGAACAATTTATCCAACTAAAGAGTATTAAACAGTATTGTAAGATACTGAATGAAAACCTCCATAATCATGAACAGTGCAACCCTGTTTCTTAATTTAAATTAATCATACCTGTACTTAACCATCTAGGCCCGTTACAGAAGCAGTCCCTTGCTGTGTTTTTACATTCAGATATCCTGTGTTAACTAAAATGTAGTTATACCCCTTTCTAGGATATATTTGATGTGATTATGTAAATTAGGCTCAAAGGTCTTTTTCAGATTCAGGTATTGTACATTTTTAATTGAGGATTAGGTTTTAGTTAAGTTTTTTTCAGTTAGATCATAGTTGGTGCAGATTCAATACCCAAGCCCCCACAATGTTCTACTATAAATGTATATAGAGCATTTTAAACTTCACATTCAGCTGCTGCACTAACATAGTGTCGTAAACGGGGGCATTAGTAGGACATGTGTAAATCACAGATTACCAAAATTACATGCAATAAATGAGTGAAAGGTTGAAAGGCCTGAAAATAATATTCCTGTCACCAGAGGCAGTCTGAAGCATCACTTTACTCTCTATCCTGCTAGGATGTATGAATTCAGTGAAATCCTCAGTCCTAAGATTATCTCCAGTCTTTTCAAGTAAGAATAACTAGTAACATATTTCCAAATACTTTGTATACTTGTACCCTAAAGCCATCCACAGTTGGCCAAAATAAGCACTGTGAGGATGGAATATATGGTTCAGCATATACCCTGAAATACACAAACATCTTAATGGTTTATATAACCTCCATAATATCCCTGGAAAAGCCACACTTGAGGGCTGCAGGTGAGTTGTCTTGTACTGTGTAGGAGTGTGGTGCTGTGGTGTTGTCTACTGTGAGAAAGAAACTGGCTCTGTGTACCTGTTTGTACAAGTGTCAAGTATTTCACACCATTTTGTTAATAGTTAACTAAAATTAAAAGGGAAAATGATTTTATGCTGCTAGTGATCATCAGTGTTCAAAACCCACAACCGTAAATCAGTTCTCGGCAGCATTAAATGTTTGGACCAAATATTTCATTATTTGAAATGTAGTTTATAAAAATATTCAAAAAATGACTACTTTAAGACCACTGAGGTATTGCTTGTAGACGAAAAGAGAATTTGGGAGCTAAGAGGAGAGGCAAAGGAATTAAACTGTTGTGTGGCTGTCTTAGAAATCTCACAGCGCCCACATTACAGAGCAATACATGAGAATTATGTTCAACAAGAGCAATGAAAAACACCCACAAATCATCACTATGGTAAAACAGAAAAGACTCAAGTCTCTGCCTGAATTAATGGACATGACAAGATTGACAGAAGTGTACCCGTACCTGACTGATTGATTTTGTGTTCCCCCTTTAGCCTGAAGAAATCGATGTGTTAATAGGAAAGGACCGGGAGGGATTCTTCACCAGTGGGATGACCTTAGGCAATAAAAAGTGCTCCGTAATCAGAGACAGCCTCCAAATTGACAGCGACTGGACAATGGACATCCGGACAAAGAGTCAAGGAGGAGAGCCAACATACAACATTACTGTAGGCAGAGCCAGCAAAGGTGAGCCCCATGTTCAGTGTTACTCGTATACAGTTTAGTAGTGCCACAGTGACACAGTAGCCTGCTTCGAAATAGTGCCATTAGTTTAGCCGCATTTAAAACTTCTGTGTTGTCCGTGCATGTGGGATAGATCTTGAATGCACCTTTCCTCAATATATGACATAAAACAGGTGTTACAAGTCTGTAAATCGCAGGATATTACCATTGAATGTCATTTGATTTTATGATGGGGGAATAAGTGCATCTCTGCTAAATGTAAATCTGTTTTAGAGCTGAAGGGAAAGATGATATTAAGGGTCAGAGTAGAGGAGAAATTCCCTCGAAATATTCCAGGCCAATAGGTTTGTCAATTATACTTGTATTGCAGTTTAACTTGGATGATTTACATTAACTTTACGAAGCCAAGACGTCGTACAGATTAACAAATCATGAGCCTAAAAAAACATGTTTTTTCCCCTCTTACATATTTATTTCATGTTGTCTAAAGATTTTATGTCTCCTTGCTCCTGACATATTTAGATTCAGTTCTGTTAGTTCAGATTTAACTTGTCCATTTTACTTAATTTTTACTTAACTTTAATATATTTAAGCATCTATGATAAAACAATATAACTGCATTATATCCTTTGTGGAAATGGTATTGCATAATTAAAGTAGTAAAATCCATATTGGGATACTGTTAGGATCCGTAAACTTTAAACAGTAATGAGTTAGTCAGTCAAACTGAAGGTGTATCAGTTGGTTGTAACTTCCCGTAGCTGGCGCTTGCGTTAGCCAGAACAACAATAAAGCTGGCACCTGATTGGTGCTCTGCATAGAGAGGACACAACTTGCCCATGGATGTCTATCTGAAGGCTGATTCATTTAAAAATGCTTAAAGCAAATGTGTAAACTATTAACATAATTAATGGGTATTCCATGTTTCATATGATAATTCTGATTTGATGCATAAATCACATGAATTAAAAACCATAGATATCTACAGATGTTTTTTTTTTACTATGACTACCTTTTTTAAATACACTTAGCTGTCAAAGCGGTAACGTGCAACGTTTTGGAGGTGGCATCTTTTACATTAACAATAATGAATTCTCTTTGTGTGCAACAAAATTTGCCAATATAGGAAATTGAAGTTAAGTTGCCTGAGTTTTGCCAGTTTTCATGTTGCCTGTATGGGCCCCAATGCCCCATCCTCCCCACTTTTCCCAGACACTACTAAAACCTGAAGGTGAGACTGTAACTCGTTCCTACTCTCCACACACTGGGCTCACTCTTTGAGCCAGGATCCGTTTTTCTACAAACTTCTCAAACTGCATGCGTCTTCCTCCTTCTGGTTAACACACCCCCTACCCTCAAAAGTATGAATCTGTTCCCCTGCTCACATGCTTCCACTGTGTTCCTGGTACAATAATGTATTCAGGTATTTCAGGGCTCTTACATGTATTGAGGAGAGGTACCACAAGCATGCTCCTGTATCTGCATGTGTGCTGCATTAGTCATGGTTGTTAGTATTCAGTAGAAGCTTCACTTTCCTAGTCTTTGCTGCTGGTATGCTGTATATTGATTACAGATTAAATGAAGACAAGTCTCTTAAAGTGGCGTAAACTCAGATAGTAGTACAGACAGCGTGATGAAACTACTCAGTAGATTACCATTGTGTTTGTTTTGGGCTGCTGAGTGAAACAAATATACCATCTTGCATATTTTACCAGTAGTTGGCTGGTGGTGATTTGTTCCCTGGTTGCTTGTCGAACTAAAATAAAGAAGCTGATTTGGCAGCCATTTAGAAACTTAAAGGTTCCAGGATGCAAACTTAAGCTGGGGCTTATTGACGAGATGTGTCAGACCAAATCCATCAATATGCGTCGTTGCGATTTCTGCTTTCAGAGGCTATTTTCACACATTTTGTAGATTAAGGTGAAATTGATCAAACTTGGAGGTAAAATTTTCTTTTCAGACGAGTAAAGACATTTAATCAGCAGCTCTAGTGTAAGTTATACCAAGTTGGATTCAGGCGTGTTTCAAAAGAACTGGGGTGCAATATTGCTCATTGTTTGGCAAGAATTAGGCTTGGATCTTGTCAAATTGTGTCTTGGTTTGGATTGAGTCCAATACTTATCCTACCTGTGAGGCCATAACATGCTGATATTGGCTCCTGTTATCTATATCAAACGTCGCTTTCACTCAAAGTGGGAGTTGTTTAGATATTAAGTGGAGTAAACGTATATCAGCTACAGCCGGGTTACTTAGTCATCAGAGTACAGACTGACCGACAGCTTTGCATGCATCCTTTACATTTATTCTCCTGCTGTACTCACTCTGTCTCCCTAATTGTAATGTGTGACATCTTGTTTCACCACCAGCAGCACTGATAAGAAAATGAATGTTTTTAGGCTCGGTACAGCCTTCAGACCAAAGCGCCGCTATGCTTTTTGTGCCATTGTCTTCCTCTGTAGCTGTCTCGTCTGCCTGCTGCTTTTGGCTCTGTGCTCTTCTCTTTTCACTTGTGTGATCTCCGCACCTTCTCTAAATGTCCCTTCTCTGTCTCTTTTCTTTCAGTCTTGGTCTTGGTAATGGGCAAAGAAGGGGTCCATGGAGGCGGATTGAATAAGAAGGCATACTCGATGGCAAAATACTTGAGGGATTCAGGGTTTTAGTTTAGTTTTGTCGTAGCTTATGTGCCGTAGTTGAGGGAGAGAGAGAAAACAAACGAAAAGGAAAACAAAAAACACAAAACTTTTAAAAACAACAGACCAAAAAAACAAAACAAATAAATTACTGTCAAATCCATGTTTCCCGCCCGAACGGTCCTATTAAACAAAATCCCAGGAGCATTTCTAACAAGCGCAGGGTTCAGGCTCTGTCTTCAACAATGTAGCCCCACATTTAGCAAGGTGGCAATAAGAGAGGGGGAAAAAGTACTTTATTTTCCAGCCCTGCTATCACCATGTCATTTATTTTGTTGTTTTTTTTCCTTTGTGTACTCCAGCATTGGTTTTTGTCATGGGGAAGGAAGGTGTCCATGGAGGGCAGCTCAACAAGAAAGCATTTCAGATGGCTGAGTACCTGAGGAAGTCCGGATACTAAAGCAGCCTGTACCCAGCCACCTAGCAGCTCACCCTTCCACCCTGTTGCATTCACACTACTTCCAGTCCTAGTTGGTAGTTACTTTTGTTTTTTTTCTTTTTCTGCCTTCTCTCCTCTCTCTCTCCCCCCCTCCCCCATTTATTATCCCATATTTTGTTGTCATATCCCCCCCTAACCCGTCCTCTTCCCTCAACACACTTGCGCTGTGTACTCTTACCCCCTTAAGCACTATAAGTTGATCCATAGCAAAGATGAGCATGTTGCTAACAGGATGTCATGACAAATCTGTACTTAACAAAGACCAGCAAATAAATTTCTGGCCGAACACCGGGACAATGAAGGCTATAGCGTCAATTTGAAGTAGATATTTCTTTCTTTTTTCTCTGTCGTAGTGCCCATTACTTAAATCCCCCCATCAAAAAACCCAATCATTTACACTCCCTCCCTGAGCAGCCGATGCCTTTGGAGCACTTGAGCGGTAACCAAGCTCGTCATGTCTTCCTCTTCCATTTCCCCCATCATGTCCTGGAGGACAGACTGTGTGCATATCTCGGTCCACTGTCGTTTCCCCTCTCGCTCCCACCACTACCCCCCTCCAGACTCTCCTCTGCCAAAATTTTCAGTTCCTCCCCTTTCCCCCATTTCTCCATCCTGTTTGCTCAAAGCAGGCGACACTACAAACCTCACAGGACATCTTCATCAAACAGTACACACCACCCAACCAAGTCCCCTCAACTCCCCTTTTTTTCAGATTCACTGCTCTGTCCTAACTACATTTTATAAAAAAAGGGTGGTAGTGTGTGGGGGGGGGATGCTTGGATCAGCTCAGTTAACGATCATGAGCCGGATTTCGGAGTGTTGGTGTCATCCAGATGCTGGTAGCCTCTCCTCCCATCATCACAACCTCCCAGACTACACGAAAACCCATGGACATTCCACAGTAACAATGGCTCAGGCACTTAATACTGTTTTTGTTTGCCAGCTCCTGTAATATATTTTTTTTATTTTGTTTTTTGAAAGGCTGCCATTTTTGGACAGTAGAAATCCCAGCATATAACCATCTGGAGTGTGTCCAGTTTTTTTTTTTTTTTTTTTTTTCTTTTATTTTTCCTTTTTATAGGACCAAGTGTAGTCTAAGCTCGGGTGTTTATACAATTGCTCTAAATCATGTGACGGATGACTGCTAACTTTTTTCTGATGAAGGAAACACTAACCAGACAGTAACACTTACTTTGGTTGAAAAAAAAATGATGCTACAGGGGAGGTAAGGGTGGGAGTATCTGAAGAAATTCTCCCTTTTTTTTTTTTTTCTTGTTTAGAAAAAAAAACGACTGCATTTGTACAAACCCATGCTGTGTTGACAACTACAAAACTGTGGAATAAATTGCCTTTTACTCTAGTCAGCTGAGCTCTGGGGTATCACACGGTCTGTCCACGCTCAGTACTGCTAAATGTAACGTCCAACTGAAAAATAAAAAAAAAAAATCTTTCAAAAGTAGAAATGACACTCAATGGGAGATGGGATTGGTTGGAACGAAGACGCTTATGGTTGTCTTGTCGAAACGTAACTACAGAACCTGTGTATCCTGTGCCATAATATAGAGATCTGTTGCTGTTGTAAGATGGATTTTACCCACTGTCCACTAAGGAGTCATTTCATTGGCACTTTTTTTTTTTCTTTAAGCTTCAGCTCCACTGTTTAGGCCTTGTGGGATATGTGTACTCATATAAAAAAAAACCTGTTTCAAGTCCTGTTGCTGATTTATGTTCATTTCCTTTTCCTCACCACTTTTTTTTCTTACATCTGGGATACAGTCTCTTTAATGCATCTGATTTCATATGCATAAAACCAAGAAATGCCATAAATTGATTTATCACCTTGTTTACAGACAGATCAAATAAATTTATTCCAACCAGATAACTGTTTTCTGTCCTTTTTCCCTCCTATCCTCAATGTTGTTTTTAAAGGAGTAGTTCAACATTTTGGGAAATACAGATGATAACAGTATCACTTGTGCCTGTCTGTTAAACAGGAAGTGGCAGCCAGCAGCTGGTTAACTTAGCACCAAGACAGAAAACGGGGAAATGGCTAGTCTGTCCGAACAGCGTTAGGCCTCATATCAAATTAAAGCCAAAAATTCCAGAAATGTAAGCTGTATCTGGGCAGCTGATTACCAAAGGGTTGGCAGAGTATAACCCATCGAGTAATCCTGCTTCATGAGTCATTCCCAAAGTCCGGTTTCTTTAGTTTCATTGTTGTAGCTGATTTGTGTCGTTGACATTGACTATTTCATATCTGCACAGTCGTTCACCTGTGTGTGCCTCAGAGTTCGATAGAAAGCTGAGTTTCAAAGTTCATTGTTCACTTTGGTCCATTTAGTTGGAGCTTTGAGGTGTCTGATATCAGCAGGTGGAGATTTGAAACTCAACTTTCAAGCCAGCATCTACATTTCCATGACAACTAGGCAAACTATCATGGTTAAGATCACATGAAATAGATCAACCTTGGGATGTTTTGTAAACAGGTATTTTCTATTAAATTGGAGGCACATTTAAGGGCAACACTTTTTTTTTTTTTTTAGAATATTATACAAACAGGAAATCAAGTGAGTGGGACTGATGCAACGAAGGTTCCTAACCAGGGAGGTTAATGGTTGTTGCTTAAAACCCTCAGGCCATCCCGCAAAACCCTCATCTTGCGTATAGAGATTAAACTGGGAAATGAGTGATATTTGAGAAGAGTGTAGAGGTCCTTTAACTTCCACTTGTTAATGAGCCATGCTGGCCTTTAACAGGCTGATTTGTATCAGATAATCAGGTCATTACCCTGAACAATTCCACTGTAGTCGACATGTCTTCTCGTTAAAACCCCAGATGAACACAGCAAAAGTCTCAGAAGTACACATAACAGCAAAAAAAAAAAACTAGGTAGGATGTAAATAGTTGGATGGATGTCTGATTGCATCGTGTCATGAATTATGTAAATGATTAACCAGTTTCCTTGTCAAGTGTCATTTTCATTTTATTGAAGTGAATTCAGATTGAGTACATACATGACATACATGAGCAGGGAAAAACACTAACGAGACAAAATATATAAACTGAAAAAGGCAACAGGTTTCAAGAACAAAACAATCTTAAACTTAAGCGTATTTACTATAAACCGTATTAAAATGATATAAGGTCAGTTAAATGTGTATTACAAGGCCTATCAACAAATAACTGCTTGTGTTAAATGGAGTGATAGGTTTGGAGCAGCCAAAAGAAGTTTTACCACAGGCAGCGTGGACATCTCCACACTTTCAACGCAATGTGACGTCACATGGAGGAGCGCATTCTTTTCTCCGAATACTCCTCTCTAAACTGGTTCGACTTCAGTTTCTCTTAGTGTGCGTCCTTGTAACAGACTGTGGCACGAATCACAGACAGGAGCGCCTAGGCTCCTTCATACGTCATGAATTGGCAAAAAACCATATTGTTGTGGCTTGAAATGTTTCTATACTTGCTGAATGTTAGTTTTAATTTTACAAAAAAAATAAAATAAAAAAAGGATGCTGCATAGCGGCTCATGGTGTGTCAGTGTAACCGGAACATGTATGCACAATAATGACATTTCCCCATCGTCTGAAAGATGTAGGACGGGAGATAATCAAAGGTAAAGATGTAACTTATTGTGATCTATATGTTTTATATACACAGTACTTTTAACTTAACTCTGTGTCAAGTGTGATCTTGTGTGCTCGGGGCCTCTGGACTTTACAACCCATCTCTACCATCTCTTTATGACTGAACAGAGTACAGTATAACAGTCTACTGTACCTAAGTGTCACCAGCCCCTCAGATATGCCCACTGACTTCCTGTCACACACTTGAAAATCAGCACTTTATCCACAATCATGTTAAAAACTTAAAGATTTGTATTTTAACTTGTAGGAAGGATACATTACAATGTCTTGTAAGCAGTGACAGAAGAATTGATGAATCTTGTTTTTTTGTGACCCCCAACGAAAGTCTCTGCAGCTGTGAGGTTGGGGAAGGCGGGGGGGGGGTTTGCGCAACCAATCAGGCCAGCCACCTGTCAGTCAAGCTCGGGGCAGATCGTGCTCGTGGCCTTCAGAGCAGGGCTGCTGCATCTGCACCACCACAGTCTCCACGGTGACCTCTTCCTCGCTGTCGCTGCTATCCAGCTCGTCATCCTCGTACTCGGAGGACTCCTGGTCTTGCTCCGAGCGCGACGCTCCCGACATGGTGCCGAAGGAGTGGGCGCTGGTGGAGGCCAGAGAGCGCAGCAGCGGGGTGCTCTCGGACACCTCCTCGTTCTCGTCGGGGCCGCTCTCCCCCTCCTCTGAATCGGAGTCGGAGTCGCTCTGCGAGGGGACCACTTTCTGCTTGCACACCGGACACGTCTTCTTGGTTTTGGTCAGCCAGGGGTCCACGCACTTACTGTGGTAGGCTGAGGACGACAAAGATGCAGTCAGCGGAAAAGGTTATTTAACAGCAACTTAACAACCCGCTTTAAAAAACATGAGCCCTGAAAATGTTCTTATCGTCAACAAATGCCAAGAAAAGATCAAAACCAGCGATTAGCTAATCCTACAACAAGCACCGACTGTACAGTGCCATAGAGCTCCACTGTTGTCCAGAATTATTAAAAACACATTAATTAACAATGGGTGGCACGTTCCTTTATTACAATGAATACGGGCACTGTCGTTTATTCTGAGTGGATCCCAGCCATGCCAACCTGCTGCCATTAACACCTACTGAAGCACCAAATCTGCGGCTGAAAACATTCCCCAACAAACTCCAGTTTAAGTAAACTTCAGTGACCAGTATTGGTGACCTGAAGATTTATGCCTTCAGTACAAACATATGAGCTTGTTGATGCTATGCTATGCTCAGTGCTAGCTCTCTGAGAGGTAAATGGGTGACGTACGGTGCAGAAGTGTTCAGACTCACCGTGAGAACATGGCAGGACTCGGAGTTTGTCACCTTCTTCATATTCGTCCAAGCAGATGGCGCATACGTCGTAGTTGTCCCCTGGGTCAAAAACACAAGACATATTCATCTTCTCAACTGATTGCATTTGTAAGAAAGTGCTTTACTGAACTTTGATAACGCTTATTTCTTATTGGCCAGTGGAAGTGCATTATTGTCAGATACTGAACTAATATTAGCTGTTAGGATTCATCAGTTCTGAGTAATAAAGTACCGTTTATTCAAACATTGATCAATATAACGCTACCCAAGATTTCCAGTTAGTATACATTTTGATTTGCATCAAGTGGCCATCATGTAAGCGCAATAATCCACTATTATGACACATACAATTATGAACAATAATGCATGAAATAAGGGATAATAATAGATTATTTTTCAGTTTAGATTATATCACATTGTACTGTGTAGGTAGAAGTAAGAAGACAACTAACAGGTTTGGGGTGTGAGTACTGTATGTGTCCAGGTTACTATGAGTGCTCCAGCTGCCTCACAAGTCTAATTTCCTTAAATTCACTTTCCCAAATATTTCCCAGCACCCACCCATCTAATCCTCAGCGTGCAGGGAGAATCACCGCTAAACCGCCAGCGCTGCATTTCCTGACGTTACGGGAGGTGCAAAGTCCCTCTCCGTGCACTAAAAGCTCAGGAATTTATCAACGCACTCCCTTTCAAATTCCACAGCGTTCTTCTCCTTTTCCTTCCCTTCCTCTTCCTCGCCCGGGCTGGAAGGAGGGAGGGAGCCGGGCTGTGGGCCGGTGTGTTTATGTAAGCTCTAAATGAGCATGTTTTCCCCGACTGGGCTTTCTGTGTCCGTGCCAGGGCTGCATGTGACCGTATAAGGATGGGGAGTCACATCGACCATGCCCCCCCACCCCACCCCCTCCTCCTCCTCCTCCTCTTCCTTTTCTCTCTGAGCGTCAGCAACTTCAACTCAAGGCGATGTTTTCAACTCTGCTCCCTCTTCACACTGTTTTTTCCTCTACCAACATCTCCTTCACCATCGTCCCAACACTTGTCTTTCTTTCTTTTTGACATTATTCCAGAGTGGCCTCCATCTTTTTTTCCTCTCTCCTCTCTCACTCTCCCAGGCCAGTTCTGGACAGTCGGGGTGAAGGAGAGGGAACGTTTGTGCAGGCATGGATCCAGTATACACTCAGGAAATGCTGAACTGTGGCACTAACGGAGCTATTCTGAGTGAAGCAGAAGAGAGAAGGTTCAGCTGCTTTCTGAACTCAAATTATGCTCTGTGTAGATAAAGTGAGCGCGGCTGTGTATCGTTTGAAAAGTGTCAAAACAGATGCCATTACAACACCTTGAAAGGTCCAGTGTGTAACATTTAAGAGGATCTATTGGCAGAAATGGAATATAATGTTCATAGGTGTTTAATCACCTGAAATTAAAATTTTGCATTAAACTATGGTGGCCACGAAACGTGTGAAAAAAGGCCTCATCTAGAGGTTTTTGCTTTGTCCGTTCTGGCCCACAGAAACATGGTGGACTCGATATAAGAGGACCCGCTCCCTCTGTAGAAGTAAACAACTCATTATAAAAGGTATTGAAAACACAACAATTCATATTTTCAGGTGATTATACACTAATGAAAACATACCTATGAACATTATATTCCATTTCTGACAGTTTTACACACTGTGCCCAGAGTTAATTAATAACTTTGATGATAACAATGTTATCATAACTGATAAACAGGCTGTGATCATGACCAAGGATCACAGGCTATCACTTATGATAAGCCTGAATTATCTTTTAACTTCTTCTTACCTTACTTTGCTACTTTACATTTTATACATTAAAAAAAAGAACATGTTAGTCACAATTAGTCAGTCGTCAATGCTCTGCGTCAACGTCACCGAGATAAAACATGTAAAAAAAAAAGTTATGTGACGTAATTCAAAAGATGTGGACACTGTGAAGCCAGAAAAAGGACTCAAACAATCCCAGGACTGTCCAGTGAGAAACATGCAGCGCATTGCTCTGCAGCGGAACATAATTCACCGTCCGGTCCCGTCATCCCTCGTCACGGAACCAATTACACCTCTCCTGCTGATCAAAGAGCCTGCTGTGGACATTAACCCGCTCCTCATTTCTAGAAACGATCGGCTTAATGTCATTACTGCGACCTGCACATGTGAGCTGAGACTCACTTCCATCAGTCTCACAGGTATGTTACATGTGCCAATAGACAGCGTGTGTAGAAGAAACCTTTTCTTACAAGGACCATCAGGTGGCTGATTGCAATAATAAATAAATATTGACAGATTTTCATGAGAGAATAAAGCAAATATAACATATATATTGAATACACGCCCAGCAGCAGCAAGAACTATATGAAAACACACTCAATAAAACCATTTCTGACTGTTTGCAGAGGTGACAGATACAGCAGATGTATAATGAAGATCATTACTCTTCTCCTGTCAAGTCTTATTCATTTGTGTGCTTCTTTTGTGTTTCGAGTTGAGTCAGCTTTGAAACTGGGTGGTAAAACATATTTTTTCAAGGCCAATTGAAAACGTCTAGTTCGTGTTTTGGCAATGTGTACACTTTTCAGATGCTGGGAATCCCTTACATTTACGTTTTGGGGCCAGTAGCACATCTTAAAAAGGACTTGCGAGCCAGTGCAGCTTTTTCTCCCCTCTATTTTTCATTAATCAGCCTGCCAGCATTCCTGGCTCTCAGAGGAACCACGCTGTCCTACTGAACTTCAGATGAGCAGTGAATGTGCGTAGCAGAGACAGAGCCAGCGAGCAGGCGCATGAAAGAGAGGGTGACAGAAAAACTGAGTAAAAAAAAAAATGCTTCTGCACAGTTCAAAGCTGGCACTGAGGCCAGTGAACTAAGAGACAGAGAGAGCTCCTCTGTACTGACATCAACATGCCTCACACACCGATGGCTGAGACACTGCAGCTGCTCTGTTCAGTGTGTGTGTGTGTGTGTGTGTGTGCGCTCAGCTCCCCGCCTATGGTTTGGAAGAGGAAAGCCGAGGGGAGGGGTGGAGTGACTAATCATACACAGGGAGGGATCAGACTAGAGGTCAGGGGTCAGAGGGAGAATCCAGCCTCTCTCAGTGTTAACGAAGGGTCCAAAACAATCTCCCTTGTTTCCTCAGCCAGTTTCTACTTCACTGTGCGTGTTTGTGTTCATAGTTTGTGGCTTCAGCGTCTGCTAGAGGCAGGTTGCTGGCGAAACTCGCCACCCAGAGGGCCAAAACTCGCTGTCAAGCGTCAGGCGTACAGCCTAAGTGGGGATGACGCAAGTCTCTGCAATAAAACCGGAGCGTAAGTCAAGTTAATGGCAGAGCGGTGCTGCACGCTGACAGCCGTGGCAGCTGGTATTACATAATCCTGTACATTGACACAGATCTTATGTTGCATGCTGCTGTTCAGACTTGTATTGTGCGTCAATTACATGGGTACCATGGCTTTCATTAAGGCATTGTGCACCATCCATCCATCCATCCATCCATACAGACTCCCTTTGTGTTAGTTATTGACTTCAGCCTGTGCACACCCATCTCCATACGCAGAAGTCTGACACCATCCAGTGCCTATTATCACCACCTCTCCCAAATCTATACAAGAACCTTTAGGTGGCTAATTGCAATGATAATACAAAATATCTCCAGCAAACATTAAAAGGTATAAATAAATACGCGCTCAATAACAGCTGCAATAATAAATACATAAAAAGGATGTGAGAAAACCCTCACTAATGTCATGTCTAACAAAGGGTTTGCAGAGCTGATAGATAGATTCTGCTAGTCTAAGCGGCTCTGCCAGAGAAGGTAGGTGGTGGGCAGATACACTCATCAGCAGAAAGGCATCCTGCCAGCACAGCAGCAGCCGAGGCTGTGGGCCTGATCAGCTGGTTAACATCTTCCCGAAATGACTTCACTTACCAAGAAAAGACATCCCACCATGTTGCATTCATTACCTCTCCTGGACTCTGATTCACACTAATGCAGTACAGATGCATTACAACCACTGAGTGTATAACCATAATTATTGTCATATATCATAATCAAGAACCATAGTTCTTACGAGAAACATACACATAGCGTCCCACTTATTTAGTTTATGATACTATGAACTTGTAATAACTGGATTGGGGTTCACGGACTGCCGCCATCTTGGTTGTTACTGCGGCTAACAAACTCAAATTTGGACAAAGACGGCAGAGCCTGGGTGGAGCTGATGTCGGACAGTATGACACAGTGGAATTAAAGAAGTGGAATAAGCTATAATGTCACTGAGGAAATGTACTGACTTTGTATTTCAAGAGCGAAGTAGGGAGTTTTCTCAGTACAGTTGTTGGTGCCAGCATCTAGTGGCCACTGTAGGAACTGCAGCTTCATACATTTGCATTAATGACTGAATCCTGAACATCTCTCTAACGTAACATCTGCTGCATTTCCAAAAAGACTTGAAAGAAACAAAGAAAGAAAAAAAACGCAAATGCTACATTACATCCTCTGTGATCATTGCAAAGTTACAGATTGCAGCTTTAAAAGCAACAGTAACACAGCATCAGTGTTCCCGTTCACTATGGCTGCATCTGTTCAAAGCCCCCAGAGTCCAAGCTCAGCATTATCTGTTGCAGCGGAGGCCAAAGGCGCCATTAGGCATCCTTCCCACTCTGTTCTTCTCTCTCTCTCTCTCTCTCTCTCTCTCTCTCTCTCTCTCTCTCTCTCTCCCCCCTCTCCCCTCCCTCTCTCTAGTTCAGGCACGCTGCCCAAAAACCTCAGGATGGGAATTGGACCAGCAGCGACTCTTGAGTGTCACAGAGACTTGTATGGCACTGAGCTGTCCCAAAAAACTGCTACAGCTGAAAATTCCAACTGTGTGTCAACATCGAGCTCATGGAAAAGACAAAAAAGAAGAGGATGCTGTAAACAATAACCGCTGGTGGTCTGATGAGCTACTGTAACAGCAGCTTTGTGATTCCAGCTCATCAGTGATTGTGTATATACAGATGTACAGTGAGCTTCTGGTATTGTTTTGTGTCCACAAGGCCCAAACACTCCTATAATATTGTTGTAGTCAGACACAGAGATATCATCTTTATTTCCCACATATTCTTCTTCCTTCCAAAGTCAGGCGCCTACTTTACCCACAATACAACTCGACAACTGACAGCTGGGTCAAGATTTGGCGCATTATGCTGGTAGTGGCTAACATAGTCTCGAGCCGCAAGCAGGAATGAGGAGCAGGCTACACAACGCAGGAGTACTCCCCAAGTCTTGTAAACACACTGTGATGTGTAAAATCACTTACCTTTTTAAATGTCTGTAGCTTATATTCTGGTACAAACACACACAAGATAGCAGAAACTAGTAATCACCATCTCTTCTGCATGCCTAACACCTCCTGGCAATTGACTCCATGGTTATTTTGTAAAAACTTTATTGGTTTCAACCACATCGGGCCTCTTTCCAGTTGTTGATTTCATTTCTATGACACTACATTCACCTGGTGTAAACACCGGCTAACTATGAACCTCATTAGACAACAGAAGCACTGTCTACTGCTCTCAGACCCTCCTGTTACAGCCCTGCCATGCTCAAAACCAGGGCACTCTGTCCCTTGCCAAGCTAGCATTGCTCCAAAGTGCAGGGCTTAAAAGGTGATTAGGTAGAGATTTGGTGTCCCCTTCCTGTGTCGCAGAAAAAGCTGACGGGAGCGCAGACGCCGCCCCACAGGCCGTTTCCTGGACATCTGAACTCCCTGTAGCAGCCAAGGTCGACTGTAGCAGTGCCTGGTGGAAACCCTGAGTCAGAGTGGGCACCGCCACCGAGCGAACACAAACCACAGAGCCTGACGTGACAAAAACAGCTATCTGAGCAACACACGCCGCTTTTAGCTGGTGTGTTGCACGTGCATCTGTTACTGCCAGGCGGGGAGGAGCAGCCCGACTTGTAACCCCCTTAAATTAGCAGCTTTGCAAGGGGGCTACTTATTATGCACCACCCGAGGTCTACAAAGCTTGCCGGTGTTCCCTCGCACAGCTGATTGAAGTTAGGGGCTTTCCAGCGCGCACAACACAGCTGCCGGAGGAAACGCAGCCGGCACAAAAAAACTTTAAATACACAGACAAAACTTACTTGACCATAGCACAAAGAGGATTTGCATTGCAAAACAATGCTATAGCCTGTCTGACCCTTGTACTGAGACACAGGGGGGTTGGAAGCCTGAGGTAGAACTCGAAAACTTGCGCTTACAAACAAGCAGCACATACTGTCCATCTGCTCAACACGTTTGAGATAAAGAACCAAAATACACGTAACTTTCAACCCCGTAAGGCCTCTGGCAATGACTGAGGCCGCATTCCAAACCATCAGTCATGTGTCCAGTCTCAACAGAGAGGAGCTCTAATCTGCCACGGAGGGCTTTGTGGAAAAATCAAGTCCATATTAATCCGATTACCCCAAGGTGCAGAGCTCCCGGCAGGAATGATGTGTCGTATGTGTTGATGACATCTCTCTTCTGGGCCAAATCATGTGAGAAAAAGCAGCGTGGTAGAGGAGGAAATAGCATCTCTACAGATTGTGAGGTCAGAGGTTAGAGTCTGGATAAAGCTGAAAGAGATGTTTTTTCATCTGTTGCTTCAGGGAGGCTTATCAATCCTGGTGAAGCGGAGTATACAAGTCCAGCAATTTACTATTTTTTGTTATTCAACATAGAGTGTGCACAGAGCGTGGCACATGTAATGTAATTTAAGATGTTTAAGTTTGCCTCCATACCTTTTTTATACTTGTGGATGGGAAGTTTCCTCAGCTGATCCTTGCGCAGGCGGCTCCTCCGAGCCCGGTGTCGATCCTGGACAAACTTGGTGATCTACGAAGAGCGGAGAAAAAAAAGAAACATGTCAACATCCTTTAAAATCACACATCTTTTTTTCGTCCAGGTGCTGAGGCCAAAAAACTGTAACTGTGATTTCTGTCACCCAAGCAAAACACTGTTACATTAGGAAAAGTGCGATGTTTCGAGCTCAAATTGGATGCCAGACTTCAGCTAATACAACTTCCAGTGGCAGGCTGATGTCTGGTACCTGACAAAGAGCCAATCTGGACTCAAAATGTTGTTTTCATCAAGTAATTAAGTAGAAAATTTAAAGGGAGTGGTTAACAGTGTTAACAGAGTCCCCAGGAGGGAAAAAATCCAGGCATTTTCTACTTTACTTTACAATCATCAAATTTAAGCAAATCTAAATTACAATCGGCCTTTAAATACACCCTGTAGTTCCTTAAGAAACCCTTGTATTTTGAGTTATAACAAAAATCTAACCTACCATGAAAACAACAATGAGGATGAGGCAGATTCCCACGATGATGAGGAAGGGGATCAGGTAGTATTCTAGCGGCAGGCTGAAGTCTGGCATGAGGACCACATGTCCCCTAGAAAAACAAGCATTGTCAGGTGTTGTCAGGTAGTACAAAAACACTGAATGCGACCTAAACAGGGGCTGTATTATGGCAGCATTTTGTTACAGCTCATCATTTTGACTGTAAATGGTGTTGAGATTCCTTTTAGTGTTATAAGAAACATGATGGCATTTCAAACTGTTAATTAATATGGGGTACGGAGCTCTGCTTCTTTTTACAGAACTGCCTCTACAGCAGACAAATCTCTGTGGCAGTCAAATTTGTAACAACCAATTTGGTCCACACTGATAAAACCCTGCCAATACCATGTTTGGTGTTCATTCCTCTGCAAAAGACTTGGGAATAACCCTCACGTATTTGGATGGTATCTGACAAGCACCACACACACACACACACACACACACACACACACACACACACACACACACACACACACACACACAGACACACACACACACACACACACAGACCAGCTGATTTAAAAGTGGAGAAATGGTACTTTAACGCTGTGATTCTCTGGGCTCCTCTGACAGGCCGAAACATTTCATTACCACCTCGGCTGCACTGACAACACATCACAAGACAAATCCTCTGCCTCGATAGATTACAACACACGCTGCAGGCATGTTTTTTATTCTGCAACAATATTATATTAAATTTATATTGAAGAGCTGGAAAGCCAATAAGGGCTGGACAGTCTTAAACAGCCAGCTCTTTGCTCCATTACACTGGAAGAACTGTGATAAGCTCAGTGTGTAAAAACCTACTTCTTCTATTTATACAGATAGGCAGAAAAAGGAGATTTGGGTTTAGACTTACCCCTTGTCATACGTGTAGTCTTCTTTCAGAGAGTTGGCAGTTTCCTCGCTCACAAACACAGAGGGAATATCTATCTGCTTCATAACATCCACTAAAAATAGAAACAAAAAAAAAAACTACTGTATTAATATATCATGTGACTGTATATCAATGCCCGACTCGATTGAACGACCTTGAAACACAATGTCCTGCTATCAGAGAAAAAATAAAAACTAAAATAAAAAAAATAACTCAGCTCAAGGACCACTTCCTTCCTTTTTCTGGAGGTTTTTAACCACATGTAACAGTCTTCTTCAACTGATGAAGTGTGTTCAGTTCACTTTCTTTAGTTTTTTACTTAGTTGAAAAACTTAAGAGCAAGAGATGCGGTTGAATCGGAGCTTCTGTTAGTCGTTTTTTCTATGTTATTAAAAACAGTATCTTTGGGTTTTGGATAGACCCCAACCAATATGGGATATTCTGAGGACGATACCGATTTAAGAGGAGAAAAATTCAAAGATTCCCGATATGGCGGCTGCTATATTGAGTCTGTATAATGTCCATGTGCTTCCAAACTAATGATGCCACTTGTGACCTACTTTGTATCAACAGATTTTAGCCTGTTAAAACTTTAAGGCGGGATTATGCTCGTACAAAGGGTTGTTTGATGTCAATCAATTCAGTCTCTCCACAGAGGTATTTATTATGTTTCCCCAATTTGTTACATATGAAAAATGACAAGTAGTTGTGTGAATTATGAAAAAAGAGAGCTTCAGAAAGACCGACCAACCACTGTGTGAAGTGGTGGTGCTTGTTGGTTTGTCTGTTGCAGAAATTGTTGAATGCAGTGCTGCTAAAGGGAGAAATCTCTTGACCACCGGTGTTACCAAGCGTGTAAAACATCATCCTACTCCTCCTAAAAACACTAACCAGGGCAAGAAGCCTTCTGGATAATTAATGACTGTGCTGCACCCCCTCAAGTGAGTATAGTAGGTGAGACCGAAGTGAAAGAAAACTCCAGACACTATCATATCACAGAAGTGGACTAGAGCAGGGACAATGTGGATTCACAGGTGGGTAGGTGCTGCAGGGCATCGCATAATTCCTCAAGTACATCTAGAGGCCTGAAATGGACTTCTGACTATAAAACTGCAGCTTTTCCTCAGGCTCGGGGATTAAGAGAAAAACAAAAGCACATCATCTGTCAACAGAGACACATAACCAGGCAGCTGTGTAAGATGCTAAGTGCTTATGTGCTGATGTACAGAAAGAAAAAGGAGGAGGTGGTGCTGGTAACTTACAATCATTGGATCCCATGCTGATTAAGTCATCAGAGTCCACATTGTGAACAATGGCTGCCTTGTACCCGGCTTTCTGGGCATTGAGAACCTGTGAGGAGGCAAAACATTTACACCCTGATTATCAAATGGATCCCCTTTGGTGCAAACACCTGGCGGTTATAAGTAGGCTAACATCAGCTGCTACTATAAGACTAAAAACAGCTCTAAGTGAAGGTTGGTGTGTGTGATAACAGGGGTTTTGTGTTAGATAATGTGACCAAATCTGATTTCCACTATCTGACACAGCTGCATCAAACCACATTAAACATAACATAGAAATAGAAACCAGTTGTGGTTAGCAGGGAGAGCTCTCTGGTTCAGCTCAGAGGCTTTAAAGCTGAGCCAAAGCATTTACAAGGTAGAATCTATTCACCAACATTAGCCTTACAAATGTACCACTTCCACTTTAATGACGCACTCTACTGTTGATATGAGCTAATTTATGACCAGGCCTTGCAAACTGAATTCACAAAAGGGCAATAAATACTGCAGTTTTCAGTTCGTCAGCATCTTAATTACAACAGCAGTGTGTGAGAAGACAGCAGAGACCCCGGATAAAAGAACACTGTGGCTTCACGGAAGCATTCAACAACAGGATTACGGCCCGTTTCCCAGAGAGTGTTTGCAAGATACAAGATGTTTGTATTGAACGCCCAGGCGGCTCGCTCCTCCACGATAAACACTGGCTGCTCATCTAAGCTGAGCTGTAACTGACGATCCGAAACAGGAAGTGCTCAATGATACGAGGGGATATGAGGTGAAACAAGGGGTGCAAGGGAAGCTACGTGGTTAAAGTTTAGTGGTAGAGTGGGCTAAAGGTTAGAAAAAATGCTCTATTATCGGAAGGTATTGACAAATGCTGAAAGTTTGGGTTTACTAAATTAAAAAAAAAAAAACAGCTCACATTTTGACCTTTGGATTTTATCTTTATACGTGCTGCAATTTCTTATTTTATATAACAAAGGTCACAGGTTTCGATCGGTGTAAAGATGTGCCCTGAAACGAAACGCTTGAGGCCAGCTCCCTCGTAAGAAACTGTGATCTTCTAAGAATAATTGTAATCTGCTGTAACCTGTCTAAATGAAAATGTCACCACAAAATAAAAAAAAAACAAGGAAAGCTACTGTCACTCCCAGATTGACTGACAGGTCTTCTCACACGAGAAAAAAACAGCACAAATGTTTGTCATTTAAATTCTAATCAGATGACAAACTAACCAATCATTCTTTCATTATTCCTCCAAATCTTAATCTTATAATTCAGTTATATTTCCATATTTTTAAATTGAGATACTTTGTTTGGAAGCCATGTTGCGTTGGCAGTTGTGTGCATATCTGTGTGTTTAACTTGTTGTATAAACATGCCACTATGTCCACACTGTCATTAATCATACCTCTTCAGAAAAAGGTTACGCCTCTCACTGCTGCATAACAACAGCTTTCACCTGAGTTTAACCTGTTTACTGTGTGTGTGTATGTGTGTGTGTGTGTGTGTGTGTGTGTGTGTGTGTGTGTGTGTGTGTGTGTGTGTGTGTGTGTGTGAGCAGCTGCTATCCTCTCAAAAGGCAATTTATTTTTATTTTCCTATCTGTCAACACCTTCATATTCAAATTCACAAAACCAGTAGGCTGTGTCAAAGTCTGCAGCGAGGCTCGATTATTATTGTCTAAGTTGTGATGCAAACTCTCAGGCGGAGGCCCAGACACACAGATTGAATGTTACACAACACAATCACTTGCAAATCAATTTTGCAAGACAGTTGTGTTGCAAATGTGATTGTGATTACATAAATTTAATGTGGCAGCAAGCAAATAAATAAACAAATTCTGGGGTCCAAACGTATCTTATTCAGTGTATGCGTGTGGCTGTTTTAGTGACTATAAAACTTTTGGTATCCAGTAAGTAATATCAATAAAATCTGAAGTGTCCAAAAACCCTGAAATGCTGTAAAATATTTGTTATTTTATAAATGTGGATCAAGGACTCTACAGTCGGCTGCAGTTACTGTAAACCAGTGGTTCCCAACCTGGGGGATCAGGACCCCCATTAGGGGTCGCCGAAGCTTCACGGGGGTCGCAAGGCCTTCTTAATTTTAAGGGATGTAAGAAAACTTAAAAAATACATACAGTAGGTCTATATATATATATATCAGGATTTTGGTTCACGTAATGTAAAGGAAATTGTCAAATAGAACATTGGTCTTGAATATAATAAGAAATATCTATAAAATGTCACTTAGTTAGGGGTAATCAGTTATCAATGATAGAAAAGAGGTCCCTTAAGGAAAATTGTTGGGAACTACTGCTATAAACCATTTTCACTTCTTTCACCTTTAGTGTCACAGCAGGTTGTGCTTTCAAAAAAAACCAAAAACCAAAAAAAAAAAACCCTTATGCTGAAGACACTAAAAAGGGATCTTTCCAGCAGCACAGGGGCCATGTGTGCTCCATCGTGGATGCAGGGGAAACTGATGTAATGAGGATCTTCCACCTGGGAGGCTGTTTTTCTGGCTCTGACACGGTATAGAGGCCACAGTATCCTGTATAGCCATTGTTGTGGCTGATCGTTCACAGCAGATGTGGTGGAGGAAATAGGATGTGACAATATAATCCTGGAATGAATCATTATGGGTTCTTGCATAGACTGAAAGAGACTTTGGATCGTCAGTGTTTCCTCTGAAATTCAGAGCAAACAACTATTTGCATTAGATCACGTCAACGTCACTGCTCCATAAAACAAAGGCAGTGATCCTGCAGTACCAGCGACAGTACTCCCATCAGTGCAAGAGGAAATCATATTCCAACAGTATAGTGACCCCTAATTAAAACTAAAATATACTATATTGTTATTAATTAATTGAGTTAATTATAGCATCCAGAGAACAAAGGTTTGGCACAACAAAGCCAAATTAAACAAAATGAAAGAATCCAGCCCCAAAACTTTAACATTGTAACAAGAAAGTTGTGTATAACGTACCTCCAACTGTTTTTTAGGGTAATACTATTTTGCCAATTTTGTTTTACTTCATTATTCAGTATCACTATTACGCAGCCATTTTTAGGCCCTTCACAGGAAGATGACATACTTAGAAATGCAAAGATATATCGCAAATATGCAAACATTCAAATCCATGAGATAAAAAAATCAAATCGTGGTATCAAGGCATTAAGACTTCACTTTTACAAAGGAAAATCTGTCTTTTTCATTCATAATTTGTCTTCAATTTCATTTCATTTTGTGAATTGTATCGAATCGTGATTTGAGTGTATCGTTACATCCCTATACATGCTTATTCTTAAACCCTAGAAAGTTCTGACTGCATTCTTGTTCCTCCAACCTCAAGCAAGAACAACACGAACAAGACATTTTTGAATCGCTGAAAAAAAATCTGAGATGCAGACAGTGTTTCAGATGGACTATAACCAGGGTATGAAACCACAAACTCAAGAATATCTCATGTAGCTACAATCAAGCTGTAGAATAAAAGTACAAAGGCGTCACAAATTGTGCAAAATGAAGACAATTATTGTGGAAATACAAGCAGGTTAGTCAGCCTGAGGTATTGTGGGAAAAAAAACACTAACCAGAAAGCACTGAACATCACCGATTAATAATATTTAACAAAGTAAGACAACCCAAGGGTGATATTCCTCCTTTAAACCACCGCTACCTGAAGCCACAGAGGAAACGCTGACGTTAATTATTAGTCAGAGCATGCGCCACCCTCCTGTGGTAAATTAACACCCGACCCAAAGCCAGACAGTGAGAGTGAGAGCGTGATGTGTGACACTGCAGGGAAGACAAAAAATCAGTTGAGCTCAGTTCACAATCTGAAAGATATGAAAGTCATCTGCTGTTCATCTGTTAAATAACAGAAGCCGGTCGCTCACACTAACCTGAGCAATCGATGGTTGTGTGAGTGAGACCAGGCCTCTTTACACCAGCATTGTACGCTGTTGTGATGCAAGGAAACCCATTTAGACTTGAGAGATGAACAGTGTGTGTGTGTGTGTGTGTGTGTGTGTGTGTGTGTGTGTGTGTGTGTGATTGTAGCCTTCAGGGATGCTAATAAAGAACAGCACTGTCTTTTGTCTGTTCCTTGTCATTGTAATTTTATGCGCAGGCATACGTGAAGCAGCATCTATGGCAGCCGCAGCATTGTGAGCCCATGTGTTCGCTTGTGAGGGTGTATTGTGTGTAGGTATCAATGGATACTGTGTGCGTCTAGAGGCAGGGCTGTCTGGATAAGTAACACACCACACAAAATACTGTGTCTGAATATGTGTATGTTTTTTGAGTAAGGAAAGTGAGCTAGGTGGAGGAAGACTATCTGGTTGTGGTTTTAAGACATCACTGATGGGCATTTGTCTATTTTTTTTACATTTTATAGACTAAATCAATCAGTTAATCAAAGAAAGAGGCACTGGCGATACTGATAATAGGCGAAGGACACATGGCTTTAATATTATGATAACGTGGAAATAATTTGTTGTTTTATGTCCATTCAGACCAAAAAACTATTATTTTATGATTTCACGACAATCGCGAGGTAAAACGGAAATACAGTGTTTTAAGAATGTGTGTTTACATGCAGTGCCGCGCCGGATGCCATCACGTTGCAGCAAAAGTTAAGACTGGTTCAACTCTTTTTGCTGGACCGCCCTGCGTTGCCATCCCCACTGCGCCGCCAGACTGGCTCAGTTTCAATGATGGGGGGCTTTTTTTTTTTTTTTTACGCAGGGCTTAAGTCATTCCTACGTCAAACCCTACTTATCTAGTGTTCCACGTGGGATAAATTAAACACTACAGTACTGTGCATGTGGTATAGTTTGCATCATATTACGCCTCAACAGCTAGGTTGTTGGAAATCAAGTCATGCAAATAGGAGACTACTGTAACAGCTGCCACAAGCCAAATTTCCTCCAGTTGTGACTAATACGGCTCATTAGCGAACCAGTGAATTTGTCCTGGAACCAATCACCATTTAGAGGCTGTGCTTTACTTCCTAGAACTTACATTTAAATTATCAAACGTAGGTGCTGCTGACAGT